GTACTCACACTGTGGAAGAAAGTGGAAGACGTACTCACACTGTGGAAGAAAGTGGAAGACGTACTCACACTGTGGAAGAAAGTGGAAGACGTACTCACACTGTGGAAAAAACTGGAAGACGTACTCACACTGTGGAAGAAAGTGGTAGACGTACTCACACTGTGGAAGAAGTACTCACACTGTTTGAAGACGTACTACTCACACTGTTCGAAGACGTACTACTCACACTGTGGAAGACATACTCACACTGTGGAAGAAAGTGGAAGAAGTACTACTCACACTGTGGAAGACGCCCACACTGACGTTCACGTCCGCCGAGACGACCAGAGACACAGACCTCTCCGACGACCCGCTCATGACGTCCAGGTAGTTGGCTGTCGTCTGCATGTTGATGACGTCATGGGCTGAATACGTCACCACCCGGACGGCATGCCGGGACAGCAGCGGGACTAGGAGCGCCACCTCGTGGGCTGAGAAATAAAATGTGAAGGTACGGGGTTTGAATCTCTGCTAGTTTTAGTAAGGTTTTACGCGCTCACAACTGTATAAGGTCATATTATGGGCGCCAAGGGGTGGGTGTCAACAGAGAATTCCAAACGGGAATCAAGCTTACTCTGCTCACCTCTCTAGCCTCAACAGCACAACATCTGCTTCGACTATCAAGGCACCCCGGACAGAGCAGTTCACAAGACAGCGACAAACATACAAAAGAAGTAGAGGAAAAGTGACGATAGTAAGGATGAGTAAAGAAAAAGCAGCAGTTCCCCCTGTGTTGTTCCGGCACAGTATGAGCTTGACATTGATAAATCAGCCCATTTACAATTCTACTGTTCATAAGAAACATGTTAATATCTCCCCTTTGGGAATTGGAATCTCTGAGCGTGGCTGACCGTTTTAGACTTCAGTTTAGGTATCCAAGATCTTTGGCCATGGGAATAGATCAATAAATGGGCTAGAGAAACTGCTGCAGTGTGGAAAGATAGAGGGAATGAAGAGCAGAAGAAGACAAAGAACAACATACACAGATGGCCTGAACAATTTTGCAACTGGTAACACATAGAGAAAACCCGAGCTGATCAAGAAGACAGACAACAGGAAGGAATGGGTTACCATGATCGTCAATGTCTGCTCAAGACCTGACACCGGAGGAAGAAGAAGAAGAATCAAAGAACAATCCAAAATCCGTAACATTAAGTTTTTCCTTCCTTAAACAATTCTTTTTTTCTTTCTTTCTTAGTTTCTTAGTTTGTTTGCTTGTTTCTTTGTTTCTTTATTCATTTAATTAATTGTGTGTGTGTGTGTGTGTGCGTGCGTGCGTGCGTGC